CCCCCCGGGAGGCACCCCCCCCCAGTTTGGGAACCTAGGCTCCAGATAGTGGATTTCAATTTCTAGCACCATTTTAAAAATCATTAATATTACCAACATTCAAGAAATGTGTTCAGGAGATTTTTTTTCTTAAACCTTTTCAGATCTAAGTGATACATCTAATGAAACTAGTGGCACCTTTTTCCAATACCTGGTTTGTTGTCTGTTCATCATTGGGAATGATTTTGCTGAAGATAAATGTCATGTACTTATTTTGCCATGCAGTCCAAGCCCGACGGTCAGCTTTGCAGAAACAGACAATGTTTCCCATTGATCTGGCTAGTGCTTCACCCCGAAGAGTTTCCATCTCTGGCTCCTGATGGAATTCTGCACCAAAATATTAACAATTCTGTGTACAATATTTTAAAATGCTGCATATTTTATTTGTCAAAATAACACAATATAATCATGCCAGGTTCATTATTCTGGTGATTTTATTTCAAGGTATCTTTCTGCGCAAATGTGTCTGTAACAATACAGACAACGATTGAGGAAATGTGTTTTGACAAGCAGATTCCTTACATGGTATATTAATATAGAATTTTAAGTAATAAATCTTGTAAACTACAACATAAAATGTATTTCAAGCCCCTCTCAGGGGTGGAAAGGTTTTGGAAAGTCAGGGGTGTGATGGGGGAGCTGAGGAAGAGAGAAGTAATTGCTGGGAAGTAGTCTGGGAGTGAATCTGGAGGGAGAAGTATGGAACAAGATTTTTTTGGGGCAGGAGAAAGGAATTGCTAGGGAGTGGGATTTTCCCCAATGCATACCCTGGCTGATACCTAGCCTTTTCCATTGAGTCATGCACATCTGCTCTCCATCTCCATGTATCCCTGCATCCCCACTACCATTCAGTTCCTGTTCCCATCTCTTTCCCCTCCCCCCAGTAGCTCTTCTGATTCCCAGTCTGTGTGACCCCACCAGCATTCCCATGGATCCTCCCCTGGCCCTGTGGGGAAGGTGCTATGAGGAACACAATCTCTCATCCTCCTTCTTTGCTGTTGATTGCTATGTCCAGTGAGCCAGCTGACCTCTGTTTTGGTGCCACAGCAGCCCCAAGTGAGTGAAAGGCAATAACTGCAGTGCCACTCCAGCAGAATGTGTTTGCTGCACTGGAAAAAAAATTGTGAGGGTGACATGAATTCTGCATTGTGCACAGTGGCACAGAATTCCCCTCAGTGTAACCTCTCTGCCTGATCAGATCTGCTGCTCCCATTGCCCCCATCTACCCACCTGGCCTCCATGGAGAAAGCTATAAGAAGCAGCAGTGTGTAGAGCGTGCAAGGGTGCTACTGTATTATAACTTTTCAAAGGATTTTTGCTTCTTTCCCCCTCCTTTGAACTCCTATGCATAGCCAAAAAGTTTGTTGTACACTGGAATTTTGGGGCCCTTTAAAAAATGAAGGTTTGCACTTTTTAATTTTGCGCTCCATCCCTGTCACATGTGCATATTAATTGTGAAATTTCCACTGTTGTTAATGTAGGGGTGAGGAATCCCTTAAATATTAGAAAGTACTTGGATTCCTACCCTTTGTGGAATATTTGACTCTGTAGTTTGCATATTACATTCTGCCCCATTACCCCATACAATCGCATAGATCAGGTGTTCCCAAACTTTTTGACACAGGGACCAGTAAATCCATTCACGAGCTTTTGGAGGACCGGTAACATTCATTTGCATATTTGCATATTCAATAAACAAATTATGAATATTCAAATACATTGTTTCTGGTCCTCCCAAAGCACCCAGTGCCAGTGTTAGCAAAGCTTTTGATACAGTCACCCACAATATTCTCGCCAGCAAGTTAAGGGACTATGGATTGGATAAATGGACTGTAAGATGGATAGAAAGCTGGCTAGATCAGGGTTTCCCAAACTTTTTACTTTAGTTGGAACCCATTTTTTTCAGTACTGTCTTTTTCAGCCCAAAAATATAAATGTGCATAAAAAAAAAAGAATGAAAAATGAATAAATTTTCAGTGTTTCACCTGGCTGCATACTCCACCCAGCCTGGGCCAGGGCTTGGGGGACCTGGCGCCACATGAGCACTTTAGGAGGCGGGAGCAGGAGCAGATTGGGGGTAGGGTATCTGGCTAGGAGGGAGGGTGCAAGGAAGGGCAGGGTTGCCAGGTGTCCGGTTTTGTACCGGACAGTCCAGTATTTGAAGGTTTTGTCCGGGAAAGAAATTGAGAAATTACCAGACATATAAAATGCCTGGTATTTTCTAATTAGGTACGTTTTATTATAATTAGGTGTATTAGTCCTTGCCTGCCTGGCTGTAGATGTGCTCATGCTGTCTGAGTGTGTCTACTGCCAGACAGTTGCAACTACTCGAGGGAGGGTATTTGGGGGGGAGGGGGCAAAATGAAATCCCCAGCCAGACTCACTTGTCTGCCAGGGTCTGCAGGGTCTTCATGTGCCCGGGTCAGTCCTACTCCCCCCTGCTTCTCCTCCCGATCTCCCCAGTCCAGCCCTGCTGCCCCCGTCCAGCCCTGCTTCCAGCGGCCAGTTCCCCCCACCATCCACCCATCTCCCCAGTCAGCCCTGCTCCCCCAACGACCCCTCCCTCCAACCAGCCCAGCTGCCTTCATCCAGCCCTGCTTCCTGCAACTGGTTTTCCC